TCAGAAGTACCATCTTGAATTCTCTGTCATTTAAGTCTCATATTTCTATGTCTGTAAGCTCATTTTCTGGAGATTTTTCTCTTTCTTTCTGAGATGACTTGTCACCTTGGTTGTTCTTGGAGTTTAATGGACTATTTCTCCACCTCGGCATTAATGGAAGTGTATTTTATTGTTTTTCCAGAAAGAAGAAAAGAAGGTCTCTCTTTAGCCTGTTGCAAAGAAGGTGCTTTTTCTTTTTGTTTCAAGTAGATATCGTCTTAGCCTCTTGGATCCCTGCTTTATATGGAACCTAACATCTTTTATTTCCTTGTAGATTTTAATCATACTCGTTACTCTCAGTTTCAATCCCTGTCTTTGTTAGTAACAGTTTTGGTAGCATTTGCTCAGATTTCTCTGGGGCTCTGTGGTGATTGGTCTCGGAGGATATTAAGGGAAGGGGCCCTCTGATTTGGGGGTTGGGAGCTGCGGCTCAGCTTCTGTGTTGCAACTGCAGCCAGTAGAAATCAACTATTGTTTCTCTGCGGTCCCGTCCCACTTCTCTGTTTTCTGCCCTGATGACTCAGACCTGCTGCTGGCTGCATAAAAAAGTCCCGGCACTTCCAGGCAGGGCTGTTCAAGAAAGTTGCTGCCCCTTCTCCCCTCCCCATCCTCCTGCAGGGAGCTCCAGAGGCTGTGAGAGGTAGCTTCAGTCTCTGCAGCTTTTGCTCAGATTTCCCTGGGGTTCCATGGTGTTCAGTCTTGGAGGGTATGGGGGGAGGGGCCCTCTGGGTTGGGAGTTGGAAGCTGCAGCTCAGCCTCAGTTTCGCAACTGGGGCTGGTTAAAATCAACTGTTGTTTCTCTGCTGTCCCCTCCCTCTTCTCTATTTTCTGCCCTGATGACTGAGCCCTGCTGCTGGCTGCGTAGAAAAGTCCCAGCACTTCCAGGCAGGGCTGATCAGGAAAGTCATCACATCCTTGCCCCTACTCTTGCAAAGAGCTCTGGTGTCTGCAAGAGGCAACTTCTTTATTTGTCCCAATTCACTGCCCGACATCCGGGGTTCTGACCTATGGTAGCGCTCATGCTCAGATCTCATGCTCAGATGTGCTAGTATGAAGTTTGGGTGTTTTTTGTTCAGTTTTAGATGTTCAGCTTATTGCTATTTCAAGGGGAGTGATCTGAGACATCTCTCACTCTACCATGTTTTCCCAGAATCTAAGTTGTACACTTTAAATAGATATACTTTTGTCAATTATATCTCAAAAAAACTCAGGAAAAATTTATGACAGTCAAGTCTTTTTCCCCCATTATCTGCTTGACTGACTTTAAATGTTTTCTAGTCTACTCTAATCCACACATTTTTTCTTATTTCAGCAAACAACCTCAGTATTTCCTTATAAAGAGAAAAATACTCCACGAATAGCCTGGCATCACAGCTGAACATTTACCTATATCCATGTCCTACTGTGTTCTTTTCTTTTGTCAACATAGATGATCCTAAAATGAGATTATATAGATGATTTTGGAAATAAACCAGTTTAGATCTTTGAATACTCAGCATAGTACATACAGTATAGTAACAAGTCTTTAACTCGTCCTAATCATCCAATGGAGCAGACAAAAATAAGCTTAAATACACACTCACACATGTGCACACGTGAGCGCACACACACACATTATGGGGTCTCTATCTTCATTACTTCATCTAAAACTAATTACCTCTCAAAGGCTTTATTTTTTAATACCATCATGTTGGGGATTAAGATTTCGACATATGAATTTGGGGGTACACAAATACTTAGTTCATAACAAGTGTGTAATATATGTTTATATTTTTATTTTTATATTTACATTTGCAAAAGAATGTGTGTATGTGTGGGGGATAATTGTGCATTGTTTTGTATGGTTCTGAGATGCACAAATTTTATTCACCATGGTTTAATTAAATAACACCACCCTCTAACTACACGTTTCAAATTTCAATTTTCCAGTATGCTTACATATATTTATATTTATAGTACACTTACTGTAAGTAATTGTATAAGTACAAACTTCACTGCTAGTCTTTCAGCCTACAAATTACTTCATATACAACAGATATGCATTGTGATCAATGACCAATCACATTACTTCTTTCTAAGTCTGTCACTGATTAATGGACCACTGTTATAAGTTAACACATACAATTAAGTGTAAAGTTCTGTCACTTCTTTGTCTTGCAGTGATAAATGCACAGAATATTTTACAAAAATAATCAAAAGAGGGAACTAGTCGACAAGATTAAAATGCAGCAAAGAAACAAAAAGTGATAATACTAAGAGTAAAAATCAAATAGAAGGTAAACGGATCTATAAAAGAAATAGCTGGCCATGGGGCTATTGGTATTTCTACTTTTGGAGAGACTCTAGATAAGCAGCTAGAGGAATTTAGTGAAGGCAAACATCAACAAAAATAAGAAAAATGGTTGTGATGAAAAAGATAGAGATATCTCTTAGAAGTTACATCCCCCCCCACACACCAAAAAAATACAACAAAGGAATTTTTGAAGATGTCTCATGATGTTTCAAATGCAAAATATCAAATGTTGGAAGCCCATTCAAACTTAGAAGTATGAAAGTTTGAGACATCAAACAAGAAGAAGAAAATCTATTCAAAGTACTCTTGATAAGCTATTTTTTTACAAAATAAAACAAAGCACTTAAATTCTCAATGATTTTAATGTTTTAAATTAGTGTTTTAAAAATTATTAGTTTTACTGATTTTTATTCCCTATACCTTTTTAAGAGAGAGTAAGAGAGTTTTCAATATTTTGTCAAAAAATTTTAAAGGTCAAAGAACAGTCATAGTTTTTCCCTTTAATTGTTAAAATAACTTGGTATGGTTTCGGCATACCAAGCACGGTCATTTTTATCATCGTGTTCTACTGTGAAAAGTGATGACTGTTTACATATGAAACAAATCTTCATTCAAATACTGTGGAAACATGTAAAAATAATGGACTTGTTTCCCCAAATATCGCTAAACATCTACAGGTAAACTTAGAACTCAGAAATTAAGAAGAACGGAAAAAACTTAGTTTTTTAAAAAATGGGGCTGATGGACGGAGCCACCTTGTGGTGCTAGAGAATATGCACGGTATAAAGGCCAACAACCCATATTTTGTAGAATTATCTCAGGTTTGAGATTTTAAGGAAACTATACAAAGTTGCCAGCAACGGAGAGTATGGGCCTCTTTATTCTCTGCTTTGAGCAGTTAACAGGTGGGAGATACGGAGCCAATCAGAGACTGAATTCTCAGAGTCCTCACTGGCTCCACCCAATCCCAGGCCACGGAGCCATAGCCACTGGGGCAAGGGGAGCCATAGCCACTGTTGCTTGGTAGCTGTTACTACCCTTAGCTTCTTAAAAACGTCAGAGGAAAAAGCAGTTGATATGCGCAGCCTGTGGGGGCCCAAGTCGTGGGACTGAGCAGAGGAAGACAGATGGCTAAACTGTTTCCACTTTAGTCTGCGACATCACCCTCCCAGAAAACTGGTGCCTTGGTTTCCTACAGCATGTACCGAATATAATTAGCAATTTGCAGTTCATCCCTACAAGTATCCCAACAGCTGTGACCACGGAAGAGCTTTTCCCTGAGAGCATCGGAGATGGATAGAGCAAGGATTGAGAATTGGAATGAGACTGAGGCTGTGGAGCAGGAGGTCAAGAGGTCAGGTAAGGGGGTGAAAACAGAAACTAAACCTCCTGTTATTATCCTGGCATTCTTTCTTGATCCCAGCTTGCTCCCTCAGAATTTTGTTTTTTAAATATATATAATCCGTAATCTCACCTTTAAATACAACTGCCCCCACTCCACCCCTAATCCCTGGCTTGGTCAAAGTAGTATTTTACCAAGGAACAAATTTGGTTTTCTATTCTGGAAGCAGGGCAGAAGACTGAGTAACATAGTTCTCAGAAATGGCACCAAAAAATGGAGCCAAAGCATTTTGAGGCTGCTGCTGCTGCTAAAAATGTAGATCTTTCTCGCCTTCCTAATAATTAATTACTGAGTTGCAAACAGTAGAATATATAGAAGATAGAGAAAAAGATAAACATTGCTTGTTCATATTTTGTTTGCTTGTTTTTCTGTAGAAGATAAAAATGACCTGTGTTTTCCCTAGGTATAACAGCAAAGAAAATAGTAATCATATCAAGTACGCTTTTTGGAAGCATTGCCTTTATTCTTTGGGCAATGTTAGGATTTCCTAGAAAATGTAAGTGAACAATTTTAGCTAAAAAAATATGTATATTAATGGTATTATTACTGATTCAGTCTGATAACCAAGGACTAGACTTTTCTTCCCCTACATTGAACTATTGGAACTGAAAGTATTCTTCGAGCCAAAGTGTCTAATTTCTCTTTGAACTTAGTCACTTGCTTTGTCTTCTAGAATTCTTTCAATAAGCATCTCTTGAACATCAGGCATGTACTAGGTGATATGATAGCAAAATGACAAAAAGAGATTTATGGCTTCAAAGGAATTCATCTATACCTGAAAAAAACAAGCATATAAGCAAACAGTAGCAACACAATAAAATAGTTGCTAAATAGGCGTATGTTTAATTTCAAGCAGAAGATGTGACTATAAATCTGCTTCTGGTAGTTAAGTAAGGTTTTATGAAGAGAAAAGTGTTTGTGCTGAATCTTAAGGTCAAGTAGGCATTTATCAGAGCTTTAAATGAGAGAAAGAACGTGAGCATCAGAGAATCACACCAGGTATCATTATAATATGGTTTAAAAGAAGCTGACAGGGACTAGCAATTATATGCCACTTTTCTCATGCATAAATCTCTCACTCCCATAGGTAATTTTACACTTTTTCCTTTCTCTCCAAACCTTTAATGACTCCTTCTTTATTTTCATTCTCAAATCTATATCTTTGCTTCCAGTTTTACTTCAGAAGTTACAGCAATTAGAAAACTTTCAAATACTTTTAACACTGCACCTACTTACTTACTTCCATCTCTACCTATGTACTCTGTTTAGACTCCTGGTACTGTTGAGGAAGTATTTATGTTCTACACTAAATCTATAGCCTCTCACCTGATCAGTAATATTACTTTAGAAATAAGAACAAGGCCAGAGGTAGCACACTACCTGACTTCAAATTATACTACAAAGCGACAGTAATCAAAACAGCATGGTATAGGCAGAAAAAGACATACAGACCAATGGAACAGAATTGAGAGTCCAGAAATAAACCCACATATATATGAGCAAATAATTTTTGTCAAAAGGGCCAAAAACATACAATGGAGAAAAGAAAGCCTCTTCAAAGAATGGTGCTGAGAAAATTGGAATGCCACATGCAAAAGAACAAAACCAGACTGTTATCTATCACCATATACCAAAATTAACTCAAAATGGGTCAAAGACCTAAATATAAGACTTCAAACAACAAATTGCATAGAAGAAAATATAGGTACTAAACTAATGGACCCCGAGGATTTTATGAATTTGACCTCAGAGGCAAGGGAATTAAAAACAAAAATAAATGAATGAGACCATATCAAACTAGAAAGCTTTTGCACAGCATAAGAAACCATCAACAAAACAAAGAAGCAAACCTCTGTGTGGGAGATGTTTGCAGACAAACACCTCAAATAACAAGCAGTAGGCTTAATCTATCTCTCCTATAATCTCTTCTATCCATGATCTTCCTCATCTTAGGAACTAGCAATTTTATCTTTCCAGTTTTCAAACCAAAAATCTTATAGTCATGTTTGACCCTTTTCCCCCTCTCATACCCAAAATATAACTACATTCTGCCTGGTCTTTCAGAATACACCCAGAATCTGAATACTTTTCATCACTTCTACTATTAACCACCCCGTTCCTAGCCAACAGCCTTTCCCTTTTGACTGTTCTTCCCTCTTCTACCTTTGACCTCCTGGAGCAACATTGTCCAGTAAAAATATAATTTTAGCTATGAATGTCATTAATATTTTAGAAGACACATTTAAAAAGTAAAAAGGAACTAATAAAAATAGTTTTAATTATATTTTTATTTAACCCAGTATAGTCAATATATTATTTCACCATATCACAATATAAAAATTATTAATGTGATTTTTACATTCATTATTTATACTAAAGGTTTTGATAGTGCATATTTTATACTTACAGGACATTTGGATTTTTTCTTTTTTTATTAAAAATTATTGGGGTGACATTCTACTAGCCATAGTTCAAGTGCTCACTAGCCATATGTGACATACTGGATAGTACAGTTCTAAAGTATATTTTTTAACAATATTTTAAAACAAATAGGATCTGTTCAAAATGCTGCAATTTTTTTTTTCTTTATTAACGAAGTAATGCCAAAATCCTGCCAATGGCATACAAAACTTTATTGGATCCATTCATCCAATTACCTTTGAAATCTCATCTCCTACTACTTGCCCCTTCATTCAAGTCTTCCCCAGTCATACAGGCATCCTCATTATTTTGTGAACAAGTTAGGCACATTCATCTCAGTCCTTATACTATCTTTTATCTTTGCTTGGGAAGATCTTCCCCTGCATGTGCCTATGCCTTACTAGCTCACCTACTTCAAGCCTTTAGGACACATCGCATTCTCATTGAACCCTATCCTGACTACTGCACTAAAATTTCCACGAACAATCTTTCTACCAACCATCCCAAACCTCTTTATTCAGATATAGTTTATGACAACCTATTTTTAATTTACTAGACATTTAAGTCTCACAGAGCAATGATTTTTGTATATTATATACACTAAAGCGTCTAAAGCGTCTAGCACACAATAAAAGCTCAGCAGGTAGTTGTTAAATAAATAAATAAATGAATAAATGAATTAGTGAATGAATAAGAAAACTTGGCTTTCTGGTGACTCAAGTTCTGAACCAAATACTTGATTTTTCTGTTAGCTATTTATTTAAACTTGACATTTTAAAATTATTTTAAACTTGACATTTTAAAATAATTTTTCCACTTGGCTTTTATATCAGTCCCACGCTGATGAATTATTGTTCCGTTTCAGGATCTTCTCATTCATAAGCTTGACTTTGAACCAGTCATTAATTTCAGCTGTGAGTAGGAAGTGTCCTTTTAGTAAATCTTGTCTTTCTCAGAGTTATACCTTAAGAAGTAACTTTATGCAGTAAGGTGAAGAGTAAAAAGCTAGTAAAATTTCAACATTTTTTCCCTTCCATTGTTTTGTGCTTAAGGACAAAGGAAATCTTTAACTTCTGGGGAAATGTCGTTCTTGAAATACAACCTAGTCTCAGATAGGGGGCCTGCCCTCTGAGGCTATGGAGATAGAGAATTTGCTTATTTACAGTGAGGCATGTCCCAGATGCCATAGTAAATTACTGGAAAAGAAATAGAGAAAATGACAGTATAAAGAAACTGGAAGGGGGAAATGGCTGAAGAAGTGTAATTGAGTTCTTTGAAGTTTGTTTATTTGTTTATTCTTGCTGTCTTAAACTATGTATAGATCTGAATTCTTCAATGATAATTTCTTTCATGCTCTGTTCTTGATTTTTATTTTTTTCTGAATTTAAAATTAAACTATTTGAATTGAATATAAAAGTAAAGCACATTTTTTCTTTTATTTACTTTTTATTATTTTGATTTTTTAAATTAGAGTTGACTTCAATATTATTTTATATTACTTTCAGCATAGTGGTTAGACATTTATATAATTTACAAGGTGATTCCCCCCAATTACTCTAATACCCATCCGGCACTATACATAGTTACTACAATATTTTTGACTATATTTCTTATGCTATATTTTACATCCCTGTGACTATTTTGTAACTACCAATTTGTACTTAATCCCTTCATCTTTTTTTCAACCAGCCCCACACCAATCCCTCTCCCTTCTGGCAATTATCAGTTCATTCTCTGTATCTATGAGTTGTTGTTGTTGTTGTTGTTGTTGCTGCTTTATTTGTTTTGTTTTTATTTTATTCTTTAGATTCCACATATAAGTGAGATCATATGATATTTGCCTTTCTCTGTCTGACTTATTTCACTTAGTATGTCCTCTAGGTCCATTCATGTTATCATAAATGAAAAGATTTTATTCTTTTTTTATGGTCAAGTGATAGTCCATTGTGTATACGATTCACATCTTTTTTATATAGTCATCTATTGATGGGCACTTAGGTTGCTTTTGTATCTTGGCTATTGTAAATAATGCTGCAGTGAATATAGGTGTGCATATATCTTTTCAAATTAGTGTTTTGGATTTCTTCGGCTAAATATGGATCAGGGGTTAATATCCAAACTTTATAAAGAATTCATACAACTCAACACCAAAAACAAGAAAATGATAATCCAATTAAAAAATGCGCAGAGGACTTGAATAGACATCTCTCCAAAGTGGATATACAGATAGCCAATAGACATGAAAAGATGCTCAATGTCACCACTCATAAGAGCAATGCAAATTTAAATTACAATGAGATATCATCTCACACATGTCAGAATGACTATCATCAATAAATCAACAAACAATAAGTGTTGGTGAGGATGGTGAGAAAAGAGAACCCTCATACATTGTTGATAGGATTGCAAATTGATGCAGCCACTACAGAAAATAGTATGGAGATTCCTCAAAACATTAAAAATAGAACTATCATATGACCCAGCGATTTCATTTCTGGGTGTTCATCCAAAAAAACGCATTTTTTTTTCAATCTGA